GTTAATGATAAATTACTCTTCTTTTATTTCCTCAGAAACTCAGACAACCAGGGTTGTTTCCACCGTGACAGAGAGCACCACTGGTGCCGTCACAACAACGGAAGAAGTCCAAAACTACCACCGTTACAACTGCTGCCGGGAAGAGCTGACCACTGTAAGCACATCGGTGCCACTTGTGTCCACAACTCCAGGCTACTGCCTAGAACCGATGGACGAACAGGTCGGCTAGAAGTAGAAAAACAACCGAGGGAAAGGCCACTATTGATGAGACCATGGAACCTGGAAAGTACCAGCGCCCGTAACGGAGGACAGAGAAAAGACACCAAAGCTTCTGACCAAGTTTTCTAAGCGATCAGTGGTCAAAGAAATTAGGCTGACCAACGTGCCCAACGCCGATGGTGTTGCTCCTGTTGAGCCAGTGGTGTGTTGAGTATAATAGTCTCCTACAAGAATCCTGGAGACCAGGATTTCATTGAAGTAGCTGAGAAGAGACAAGTCAACCGGTAAGTTGTATTGCTTTCACGTCAGACTGGGATTTTTTTCCTGGATTCATGATTTAACATAAAAAAAGTTGGCGGTTGGTGCAATGAGTGACCAAGTTCACTTTTCTATGTCGCTTTACAGATTGTGACTATGACTCTAGAGCCTGAAGTAGCCCAGACCTATCTCTTGCCCGAAGATGCATCCCTAGATGATTGTGACCAGCATTCGTCTGGAAGTAGTGGGAATTAGCGGGGCCAAGTCAACCAACCTGGATGTTGACATTTTAGGCTGCGTTAAAGGTATGTGGCATTTGACATGTGAGGACAAAAGGGAGATTAGCTGATGCGGTATATGACCGAGAAATTGCCACAGGTAAAATATTGAGGATATTTTGGATTGACTGAATCTTCTGTGTGTTTATCCCAGAACTTTCCACGGGAGCGCCGGCGAGAGACCAGCCGCAGACCGTGCCAACTAAAGTCAAAGTGACCACGACAACTCTTGTGACTTCTCCCCTTGGAACAACCACTGAGGAGGACAACTACGGTCAAAGCATCATCACCTGCCGCATCGACAACAGCAGTAAGACTTGTGTCAACTGATTGTGTGAATCCGAAAATGCTGGGTCAACTGACGAAGCTTTGTTAATGATCAATAAATTACTCTCTTTTATTTCCTCAGAAACTCAGACAACCAGGGTGTTTTCCACCGTGACAGAGAGCACCACTGGTGCCGTCAAACAACGGAAGAAGTCAAAACTACCACCGTTACAACTGCTGCCGGGGAAGAGCTGACCACTGTAAGCACATCGGTGCCACTTGTGTCCACAACTCAGGCTACTGCCTAGAACCGATGGACGAACAGGTCGGGCTGGAAGTAGAAACAAACAACCGAGGGAAAGGCCACTATTGATGAGACCATGGGAACCTTGAAAGTACCAGCGCCCGTAACGGAGGACAGAGAAAAGACACCAAAGCCTGACCAAGTTTTCTAAGCGATCAGTGGTCAAAGGAATTAGGCTGACCAACGTGCCCAACGCCGATGGTGTTGCTCCTGTTGAGCCAGTGGTGTTGAGTATAATAGTCTCCTACAAGAATCCTGGAGACCAGGATTTCATTGAAGTAGCTGAGGAGAAGACAAGTCAACAGGTAGTTGTATTACTTTCACGTCAGACTGGATTTTTTCCCTGGATTCATGATTTAACATAAAAAAAGTTGGCGGTTGGTGCAATGAGTGACCAAGTTCACTTTTCTATGTCGCTTTACAGATTGTGACTATGACTCTAGAGCCTGAAGTAGCCCAGACCTATCTCTTGCCCGAAGATGCATCCCTAGATGATGTGACCAGCATTCGTCTGGAAGTAGTGGGAATTAGCGGGGCCCAGTCAACCAACCTGGATGTTGACATTTTAGGCTGCGTTAAAGGTATGTGCATTTGAATGTGAGGACAAAGGAGATGAGCGATGAGCTGTGTTATATGACCGAGAAATTGCCACAGGTAAAATATTGAGGTATTTTGGATTGACTGATTCTTCTGTGTGTTTTATACCAGAACTTTCCACGGGAGCGCCGGCGAGAGACCAGCCGCAGACCGTGCCAACTAAAGTCAAAGTGACCACGACAACTCTTGTGACTTCTCCCTTGGAACAACCACTGAGGAGACAACTACGGTCAAAGCATCATCACCTGCCGCATCGACAACAGCAGGTAAGACTTGTCAACTGATTGTGTGAATCCTAATATGCTGGGTCAACTGACGAAGCTTTGTTAATGATCAATTACTCTTCTTTTATTTCAACAGAAACTCAGACAACAGGGTTGTTTCCACCGTGACAGAGAGCACCACTGGTGCCGTCACAACAACGAAGAAGTCAAAACTACCACCGTTACAACTGCTGCGGGGGAAGAGCTGACCACTGTAAGCACATCGGTGCCACTTGTGTCCCACAACTCCAGGCTACTGCCTAGAACCGATGGACGAACAGGTTGGGCTGGAAGTAGAACAAACAACCGAGGGAAAGGGCCACTATTGATGAGACCATGGGAACCTGAAAGTACCAGCGCCCGTAACGGAGGACAGAGAAAAGACACCAAAGCTTCTGACCAAGTTTCTAAGCGATCAGTGGTCAAGGAATTAGGCTGACCAACGTGCCCAACGCCGATGGTGTTTTGCTCCTGTTGAGCCAGTGGTGTTGAGTATAATAGTCTCCTACAAGAATCCTGGAGACCAGGTTTCATTGAAGTAGCTGAAGGAGAAGACAAGTCAACCGGTTAGTTGTATTACTTTCACGTCAGACTGGATTTTTTCCCCTGGATTCATGATTTAA